CAGTTTGAAAAAGACAGATGCACCCCTATGTTTATCGCAGCACTATTTACAATAGCCAAGAAATGGAAGCAACCTAAGTGTCCATCAGTAGATGAATGGATAAAGAAGATATGGTACATACACACAATGGAATATTATTCAGCCATAAGAAGAAAACAAATCCTACCATTTGCGACAACATGGAAGGAGCTAGAGGGTATTATGCTCAGTGAAATAAGCCAAGTGGAGAAAGACAAGGACGAAATGATTTCACTCATCTGTGGAGTATTAAGAACAAAAGAAAAACTGAAGGAACAAAACAGCAGCAGAATCACAGAACCCAAGAATGGGCTAACAGTTACCAAAGGGAAAGAGAGTTGGGAGAATGGGTGGGTAGGAATGGATGAGGGCGGGGAAGAAGAAAGGGGGTATTATGATTAACATGTATAATGTGGGGTTTGGGGGAAACGGGAGGGCTTTGCAACACAGAGAAGACAAGTAGTGATTCTACAACATCTTACTATGCTGATGGACAGTGACTGTAATGGGGTTTGTGGGGGGGACTTGGGGTAGGGGAGCGCCTAGTAAACATAATGTTCTTCATGTAATTGTAGATTAATGATAACAAAATAAAATTTAAAAAAAAACAAAGGGATTCTAAGTTGTACTCAGTGAGTCTCTAAAAAGACATTTTGCCAATAAAACAAGAAATAGGGTATCATTAAATAGCTAGCATAATTAGAAGTGGAGGGGAAAGATAAAACATGTTGAAAAAAGATCTAGAAGAGAATTGTACATATAGGAGAGAATTATCAAAGAAAGAATGAAATTTCCTGATGTTGGAGAAAGACTTGATTTTTCATTATTTTACAAATGCGCAGTGCCTACATTACTGGAAACTGGCTAGTGGACAGATACAGATATCAAATAAGTAAATATACAGATAAAATAGCAAATTATGATGTGCTGTGAGACAAAGGCACAGAGAACTGTAAAACCTGTTTTACAATGGGAGGGCAGTGAGGGCCTGTAAAAAGTGGTTTTTGAGCTGTATTTGAAGACTGAGTAAGTGCCAGGTAGACAAAATAATAACATGAGGCAGGAATGGTTTTGCCATTCCTGAGAAAATGAATCAGGTCGTGGTTGAAGCTTACTTAGTAAGGAGAAAAGTGACATGAGATGGGAGAGGAAAGGAAGGCAGGGGCCAGACTGAGTATAGGCTCTAGTTAATAACAGCTCCTACAGGCCACATTAAGGGATTTTTTTTCCCTAAGACAATTAATTGGAAGCCAATGAAGTGTGTGAAACCAGGTGGTGACGTGATCTGATGACTGCTGGATGACAGGAGAGGCAAGACAGGAAGGGGAGGGACTAGCAGAGAGATTGCTGGCAGTAGTTAGAGTGGCAGCTTGACCTAGAGTAGTAGTAATGGAGAAAAATGAATAGATTTAAGAGGGAGTTTTGAAGATAAAATTGACATGCTTTGGTCACAAATGGAATGCCAAAGGGTGAAACAGAGGTAGATCCTTGAGTTCTGGGTAGGATTCATAAGGGGAAAAAAAAAATCCTAAAATACTACCTAGGTTAAGAGTACCAGTGGAAATGACCTCATGTATAATCATAATTTGATTCTTACTTATGTAAAACTTTAAAAACTGAATTGAAAATTATTAAATTGCTCAGGCAATGCAAGAAATGATACGTGAGATCTCCTCAAGTTTCAGTGTCAGGGGGCTTCCCTAAGGTTAAATACTTGAACTGGCAGAGCACAAGGGCAATGAAAGTAATGAAATCATGAGCTTGTTGTTTGAATAATTTGTATGTTGTTATTTTATCTGGAGTTATTTGGGTTTTTTTTAGATCGTTGATAGGGTTATGGTGGCAGTTGTCTGGCTTTCAAACTGTCTTTTTTACAAGATTCATTTTTCTCCTTTTCTCAGTATGACAACATTTTAATGGAAGAGGCTGCTCAGATTCTGGAGATAGAAACATTTATACCTCTTCTTCTACAGGTAAGAAATTGAGATCTGAGTCAAAGAAAGTAGAGTTTTAAGAATTGTGGGGGGCAGCATCAGAAAGCTATACAGTTTTGGGGTGCTAATTGTTATAATTATATGTTCTTTTTAACTTCATTATGTTTGGTATTCTATTTTAAGCCTGTAAACTTCCTTAATCTGTTTACTGGTTATTTAGTAGTTTGTATTGTTTCTGGGAGTACTATTTAAAAATTCATAGTTTATCTCTTAAGTTTTGAAAAGACTTAGTAATTTTAACCAAGAAAATTACATTGCTGAGCAGTTTGGAGAGTAGATGAGCTATTTTTTCATTTCTTTTGTTAAGAGTTGTTTCTAGAATTGTTCTTGATGATCACTGAGTACACTGCTTTTCTTTGTTTTTATGCCTAAAATTTTTTGAGCTAAGTGGTGATATTTAAGAATATTTTTTATTGTACCAATAGTCTTTACTATTGAAGCGTTAAAAACAAAATCTGGAATTCCCCATTTAAAAATAGAGACTGCTCTAATTTATAGATAAATTGTATTCCAAAAGTTTCGTAAGCCAAGGTTTTTGGACTTGGAATGTATTTTATCAGGATATGTATTAAGGAATGAGGAGATATGTGGAGTAGGAAATTGAAATAGTATAGGAAATTTAAGAAGGTACAGTTTTTACTGCTTTGGGGAGTTCAGAACTGGCTCTTGGCATAATGGTGATGCAAGGTGTTTACTCTGACATCTTCCTGTTTCCCTGCTTGGGCCTGTTCTTTCTCTGCTCCCTTGCCTGATTCTGACCTGAACCTCCCAGACCTCTTTGGATTATTACCCTGCCCATTAAAGTAAGGTAATTCCATGCTTGTCTCCTTGACTCGCCCACTGTCAGCCAAATGCAGTGGTAGCCATGTGTGGTTCACAAGTCATTCTATAAATCTACCAGATTCCTCTCTGGAACTGGTGAGTGAATATCATGATTTAGAAGCTGAAAAAGCCATTCTATAAATAGCAAGACTCTTGTGCAAGAAATTGGAGACTGACAGGGTAATATATTAATTGTTTCATTGACTCCTCACTTTTCATTTCTAGAATCCTCAGGATGGTTTTAGCCGACTGAAGCGCTGGATTATGATTGGTGATCATCACCAGTTGCCTCCAGTCATTAAGAACATGGCCTTTCAGAAGTATTCAAACATGGAGCAATCTCTCTTCACTCGCTTTGTCCGGGTCGGAGTTCCCACTGTGGACCTCGATGCCCAGGGTAGAGCCAGAGCGAGGTAAGGAGCTTCAGCCACTGCTGGCTAAGGACATCCCTTCTGTACTTGATGTTTGATACTGTATTTGATGTTGATCAGGTATTTGGCAACACCTTCTGTACAGACACAGAATTCCCTGCTACCTAGGAACTTGCCATCTACAAGTCTGAAAGTATCTTTATTGCCTTCTGCATGGGATGTGAATGGGCCAAATTATTTCTTTCACTCTATTCACTGAGATTAATTTAAGTAACTTATAAATTAAGGGCTTTTCTTCACCTGTTCCTTCCCTTTTCTTCAAAGCTAGAGTTAATATTTTTAAAATCTAAAGCAAAAGATGAACAAGGGAAGAATACACGAGTTCTTACGTCATACAGTATACAGGCCCCATCTCATACTTACCTCAGAATTTTCCTCAGTTTACAGACTCTTCCCTGACTTTTGTTATATAAGGAGGAGAGATAGCAGTTACCTCAGAAAACACAATGGAGCTGTCATGTCTAATATCATCAGTATTCTGACCTTTGTTTACCTGAAGTAGGAAGGCAGGGGTTGGAAAAAGCATTATTACTAAAAAGATGAGCACAATGGGTAACTGAAAATTAAAAGGAAGAACATGGTTTCTTAGAAACCCACCTATGTATATTAAAAGGGATTTTTACATTGCTAATATTTCCTGTTTTGGTGGGATTTGTCTTTGGAAAGCTTGTGTAACCTCTACAACTGGCGGTACAAGAATCTAGGAAACTTACCCCACGTGCAGCTCTTGCCAGAGTTCAGAACAGCAAACGCTGGCTTGCTTTATGACTTCCAGCTCATCAATGTTGAAGACTTTCAGGGAGTGGGAGAGTCTGAACCTAATCCTTATTTTTATCAGGTAAGAAGAAAACCTGAAACTTCTAAGTTTGTTCTGAATTTATTTGCCTACCTGGCTCAACTCCTAAATCAGTGAGAGAACCATCTGGCTAATCTTTGAAAACAAGGAAAATGAGATCCCCACCTCACAGACAACACAAAAATTTCAATTTCTGTTAGATTAAAGATATATACACCAAAGAAAAGAAACTGTAAACATACTAGAAAGAAGAAAATACTGACAAATATATAATGTTGTGATAAGAAAAGTGCTTTTAAATTCAAAACAAAGCAGAAATCATAAAGAAAAATACTGATTGATTTGAAAGTAACATTTATTTTCAACATTTAACAATGAGTTGAATTCTGAATATATATACAGATCTCTTACATGTCACCTTTTATAATAACCAAAACTCCAACAAAAAGATGCAATAAGAATATACAGTTCACAAAAAAAGATACAGATTTATAGCAAGCATAAATAACCGGACCATGTTTTCACCTCTAATAATAGTCAGTGTTGGGGCATATTGGGGTAAATTCTGTACTCAAGCAATGCTAGAAAGAAAGCAGTTTAGTGGACATACTGTCAGTATTTATTAAAAGCAGTGTTCTTAGTTCTAGGAGTTTATTCTAAAAAGCAGTTGGACAAGTTTGCAAATACTTATATACTAAAATGTCCATCTGTTTCTTTTATTTCAAATTATTTTGGAAATAAGAAACAACCTAAGTGTCTACCACCAGGGATTAATCACACTACTACCTATTAATGTAATGAAAGAACGAATAAGCACTGAGAATGTTAACACTACAACTCTGTGTGCTGCCAAGAGTGTTTATACTATATTAAATGAAAAAAAATAAGATTGCAAAGTATATCTTAACAGTGTCCCATTTTATTTTTAAAGAGGAACAGCAAAACATAGAAGTTTATAAAGATAATCTCTACAAAAAGATCTGGCAGCATATATACCAAAAGATTTGCTCTTTTATCTGTATTAGAGTTGATGCTTAGATAAATGTAGCTTGTTACCAACATAAAAAATGGAAATTTTTGCAGTCATGAGGCTTTTTTTCCTTCCTGTCTTCCAAAGAACTAGAAAATTTAAATGAAAGAGATAACATAAGCTGTGTGTCACTAAGAACCAGAATATAAATGATTTTTCTGAAGGCCTTCCTACAATTTTCTTTTTTCCTGTATGTGAAATCTAGCTTCTTGTCTTCCTTTTTTGATCTTCATGTTAAGTTTATTTACTCAATTTACTTTCTTCCTTCATCTAATGCCTCTAATTTAGTCTTCACCGAAGTGGACTAAGCAGCTTTGTACACTTCCTCACTCTAAGGGTCAGCTAAGAATGGTAAGCCAGATGACCAATTTGAGGCCACATCTCGTTCCCACTTAGAGTGATCTGGTAGAGGCAGAAACCATCAGAAGAGAATAAACACAAAACACACAGAAAATACTAAGAAGCATGAGGAGAAAGGAAAAACACCGAGGAAAAGTTGAGATTGTGCTACAGCACTGCTAGGTGTATATGCAGTTAGACTGGATTTTCTGCTGGCTTCTTAGATGGTTGCCTTGCCCCTGTGTGTGAAGAGTTCTTCCCGTAACTATAGTCGCAGTACACTGTAGCAGAATATTACGGATCTGTGTTGTGATGGTTGTGGTCCCAGAAATATTAAGCCGTTAAGTTGGTTACATTTATGTTATGATTGTTCCATATGTTGCTAATATATTGCAAATGTCAAAGGGAATAATTACCATATACTCTTTGTATTTATCAGTGTTAACCTATGATAAGGTTATTCCTTAGTTTTATGAAAGATGCTTATTTGTGCAAGTTACTAACTTTTCACTTCTTGAAGTGTGGTAAGTGAACAGGTTGTACTATTTAACCATTTTATCTATAAAATTGAAACAAAAGGAAGTAAATGCACAATCTGATTATGTTTGCATTACAGAATCTTGGAGAGGCAGAATATGTAGTAGCACTTTTTATGTACATGTGTTTACTTGGTTACCCTGCTGACAAGATCAGTATTCTAACAACATATAATGGGCAAAAGCATCTTATTCGTGACATCATCAATAGACGATGTGGGAGCAATCCATTGATTGGAAGACCAAATAAGGTAATTTTATGAATATAATATGTTCTCTTATTCATCATGTTGGCAAAATGGAAAGATTTGTATTTATCAAGTTATTTATATTGTTCTGTTTTGTCTCTTTGGTATGCCCTTTTAAGACATCTAAGAAAATGAAATAACAGAAATTAGAAATAATTCCCTGGCAGTCTTTTCTGACAGTGTTTTTGGTTTGCAATGAACTTCTGTCTCAACTACTACAGTGAAGATTATTGTTGATAGTAATCAGAAATAAATATTTCTAAAACCTTTTTGATAAAATGATGGATAACAAAATTACATTGCATATGTACTTGTATAGTAGAAATAGGAATTGTAGCCTTTTTGTTCTGTTTTGCAAAAGTGTAATTTCTACTGCTTTTTATCATCTGTTTGCACAGGGATTGTTTTTTCTTGGGGTTAAAGGAAGATTGTAAAGTGCATTCAGACCTTAGGGTTTTTTTATATGATTAATTTTTTATGTGGTATGATGGAATAATATCAAATAAAAATGAAGATGCTTGATTTTATCAGTAAAGGGTTGAAAAATTACAACAACAAAACATAAATATAATATTACTATGATGAAATTAAGACTGGTTATATAAAATATCTTTCACCTTTCCTTGGAAATCACTCAAAAGTAATAGAGGAAAATGGGAAGAGGAGAACACAAACTCCATTTTTAGTGAGATGACACAAATCAGGTGACTAAGATCAGGAAGAAAATGTGGGGAGAAGAGAATTCAGGGACCAGTCTTGAAAGTGCCAACAAAAGCACACTTTGGAAAGGTGAGTGGCACACTCTGAAGTGTAAGAGCCACATCCCTGTTATTCAACAATGGATATAGGAATTGGGGTGAACAGAAGCCTTCCTCATCCCAGGTAGGTTCAAAGAAGCCTTATAGGTAAACTATATTTGCACAAATAGACTGCCTTTACAGAGGCAGAGGAAAAGAAAACCAGTCAGCCTTTAGAAAACAGTCTTGCTTACCCCAGCTTAACCTCTTTCACATAGCTAATCTAAGAAACACATTTATTCAGTGGTGAAATGTGAATAACAGGCAACTAGCACAAGGTCAACTTATATAGGAAAAAAATGGGAGGAAGAGCATCAGAACAAAACTAATTGACAAGATACGTGCTCCAAAAAACATGGTGGCCTGAAACAGATGAAAATTTTGAATATACATTTGGTTTTGAATTTTTAAGTAATGAAGTAACCATTCTTGAGAGAAGGCCACAAAACAATTTAAGAACTGAGGAAGAGATGAGTAGGAGAATTTACTCAAATACTAAGGAAAGTTACTCCCTCTCATAACAAGATGAAAGTAGAGTGGCTCCAGGTTGGGTTACAGAGTCACTCAGTGATGTCATCAGGGATCAAGGTTCATTTCATCCTTCTTCTCTGCCATTCTCAGTGTGAGCCCAGTTCTCAAGCAGGCTCTCCACAGGATCAGAATGGCAACAGAATTTCCAGGTATAGCACCCACACATAAAAGCAAAGGACTTAAATCCAGAATATAAGAACTCCTATAAAAGTCTGTTAAATAAGGACAACCCAGTACAAAATTGGCAAGTGCACACAAGAAGACATATAAACGGCCAATAAGCTCGTGAAGAAATGTTTACCATTGTTAGTTGTCAGGAATATGCAAATTAAATTACAATGAGGTACTACTACACACTCAATAGAACAACTAAAGTTGTAAAGATTGACAGTATAGCAAATGTTGGCAAGGATATGCAACAGCTGGACTCTGGAAGGAGTGTTGCTAGTGAATGTAACATGGTACAGCAACTAGGGAAGCCAGTTTTCCAGTTTCTTTAACATTAAACATACACTAAGCCATACAGCTCAGCAATTTCAACCATAGGTATTTATCCAAGAGCAATGAAAAGATATGTCCACAAAAATGTTTGTACATTAACTTCAGTTTTATTCAAAATAGCTCCAACCCATAGTGCCATAAACAAGTGCCATGGCAGGTGAATGAGTAAACAAATGGTGGTATGTACATTCAGTGAAGTACTGTCCAGTAGTAAAAAGGTGCAAACTCCTAATGTACATAACACATAGATGAATCGTAAAAACATTATGCTAAGGCAAAGCCAGACAAAAAAAGAGTATATACTTTGATTCCATTTTTATGAAATTCTAAAACAGGAGAAAATAATCTATAGTGACAGAAAGCAGATTAATGGTTGCCTGGGACTGGGGGTTACAGATTTGACTACAAAGGGATCTGAGGTGATGGAAATTCTGATTGTTGTACTCACAGGGAAGTATACATTGTCAAAATTCATCAAATTGTGTGTTTAAAATGAGTACATTTCATCGTATGTAACTTATACCTTTGTAAAGTTGATTTAAAAAGAAATGTTCTGTGAACTTTCTAAAGGCAGGCACCAGGAATTACAGTTTATGCAGAATAAGCACTTCAACTTGTTGAATTAATGAAAAAGAGCTAAATGCCCAAGTGCCAATATTAGTCTGAAATCTTCCTGAACTCCTCTAATTGTACATATATTTTCAAACTGAACAAAAAGTATTATGAATGCTACTTGTTTATCTTTTGACAGAGGAATGCTGTAGATGAGAACTAGAAATATGTTAAATAGTAAGTGCGCACCTAAGTTATATTGTGGGGCATCAACCTTGGATACCGATAATAAGATAAACATAGTCCCTGCTTTCAGGAGTTGGGCAGTCTGGTGGGGGAAGACTCAGTTCTGCAGGTGGTTATTTAGTTGTCATGAGGGGTAAGGAGGAGTGCTGTGAATGACACAGGGTCAGAACCTAATCTGGTTACCGTGGTTTATTTCATAGTGTTTGTTAACTACTCTTTTCAATTCCAAGTATACAGTCATGTTTCTTTCGGGATTGATTATTTTAAGGATAAGATTTATTTCTAGGATATTATTCAATTGATATCTCTGGAGTCTCCTATTATTGTGCTTTTGAATGTACCATATTTCCCATTTTTTTCTTCCTAGGTCACAACTGTTGACAGATTTCAAGGTCAGCAGAATGATTATATTCTTCTTTCTCTTGTACGAACCAGGGCAGTGGGCCATCTAAGGTATGTAAGGAAAAATTTTCATAATACTTTACTACCTGCTTTAATTTCAAACTTACATGGCTAAGTAGTTTTACTTTTTTTGAAGCTTCAAGTATAATTAATTGTTATGGCAACTTTTAGTGCTTTTTGTTAGAATGTAACAATATCAGATTCTTTGAATAGTTAACCATTACCATTGCTTCTGAATTTTTTGAATCTCTAATATTGCAGTGTGTTTAGTTTTGACTCTCCAGTAACATTCAGAGAGAGCATTGTATTTTAAAATCTTAATAGATGTCCTATATCTGTTGGAAATTTAGTGTCAGGAATTAAAGAGGATAAAGTGGTAAAAAAGTGTCTTCAGAGTAAATTTTTCATTGCACAGGATTTTTGACTTTTCACCACACAATCTTTCGGCTTCAGTGTTAGATAAAGGAACCATTTCTTCTCCCAGGATTAAGAATTGTCAAATAATAGTCTGTTTTTATCATTTATTGTGATGTATTTATGTGCTAGAGATTTATGAGAATAATATCTTCTTATTATGAAACAACTGTTTACAGTTTTATATAAACCTTTATCTCATATGACTTATTAGCAAAACTATAAGGAGAGTTCATTTTATTATTTTATTTGGTGGATATAAAATGAAAATTCTCTAAGCTCTCTGATGTTGTCATTAAGTCAAAATCTATTTGGAGCTTAGCCCAGTGATCAGGTTCCATTAGACTGATAACTTTTATGTAAGAGTAAGCAAAGATGTACAGTTTCAAGAAATGGTTTGAAAACTATCACATTCTAAAATACAATTTATTTTTGCTTATTTGTCAAACATTTGTTTGGAGACTAACTTTTCTAAAAAGCAGTTCCTTTTCTGCATTGAGATTTATAGCTGCTCTCTGAAGGGGGCATCATTATTATTTGCATACTGCTTTATCCCCTCCTCGCTTTTTTTCTTGACTCTGTAGTGCTTTGTCTTTTTCATATGCTCATGACTTAGTTTCTGTGCTGTTCTTTGCCTGGCTTTTCTGGAGACTTAAAAGAAGAAAGAAAAATGCTTACAAATGAAGGACCTGAGTTCAGTATCATTTTACATTTCCATATTTTCTGAGCAAAAATACCTTTATCCAAAAAAGTTATTTTTGTATTTGCAAAAATTTCCATTTGAAAGTCCAGCTTCTTCATTGCAGGTGTGTTGGTGACGGTGGTGGTGGTGGAGGTGGTATTAAAGCATACAGGGGAAATGTCAATTTAACAATATTTATGATTCCAGTCATCCAAGATAGCTTAGGTAACTCAGCTAGAATTTTATCAAACTCTTCGTAGAATTCTTTGGTTTGTGAAGATAATCGTTCATATCTTTCTTTCTGTAATAAACAGGAAACTATTTTGTTTTTCAAGTTTCAAGAGACTAAGAAATACTTGCTTTCTTCCATATTTCTCTTTTAATAACAATTTTATTGAGATATATATAACCCAGCTGCCATACAGTTTGAGTGTACAATTCATAGAATCTCTTCATGGAGTTAACCTTACAGTTTCAGAGCATTTTCATCCAGCCAATAAGAAACCCTGTACTTATCAGAAGTTGCTCTCCTCTCCTCTCCCCCAGCCCTTGACATGTGCTCTTCTCCTTTCTGTCTCTAAGTTTGCCTATTGTGGACACTTTATATAAATGGAATCACTTAGCATAATATGTTCAAGGTTCATCCATGTTGTAGCATGTATCAGTACTTCATTCCTGTTCATTGCTGACTAATATGCCATTGTATGGATACATCACATTTTATTTATCCATTCATTAGCTGATAGATATTTGGATTGTTTCTACTTCTTAGGTATTGTGACTGATGTTACTATGAGCATTCCTATACAAGTTTTTATGTGGACATATGTTTTTCTTTCTCTTGGGTATAGACCTCAGTCGTGTCGTAACCCTGGGTCTATGTGTAACCCTTTCAGTAACTGCTAAACTGTTTTCTAAGCACTTGCCCACCTCTTTTTTCATCCAGGATAGACTGATCAAGTGATTGGGTAGGAGTCAGACTATTTACCTTCAATTTCAGAGACCTGTTTTAAGACATTTAGGACCTGTTAAGAAGCTAGATTAAGTGAGACATTTCTTGTCCCTTTCCAACATTCATGATTTGTGTCTCCACATGATTTGAGTAGCCCAGGTACTGGTAGAAATGCTTAGTACTTGTTCAGAGTGAAGCAGTAAATCTGTTAACTTCCCTGTGTTTTCTTCTCTTAGGAGTTCTAGCAGAGTGATGATTTGTTTAACAATGCTGTTTCTGTCCAGCCATCTTCTGGGGACTATGAAAGAAGGTGGCAGTTGCCACTGATCTGGTTTCAGGATTGAGCTCTAAGGAATCCTGTCCACTTATCCAGCCATGCTTTTCTCTTTTGCTTGGTGGCCTGTAATGTTCAGAGGGTTTGGTCATTCATTCAACAGATAGTTTCAGATCCATCTATTCTTTGGCAGTGTGCTGGGCTCTTGATACGTAGTAGCAAGTCTAAGCATGATCTTTACCCTTGTGAAGCTTAAAGTCCAGTGGGGGAGACAGTAAACATACTGCTGGAAGGTACCTACACTTGGCTCTGCTGAAGATACTAGTCTGATTCTACTCATGTTCAGTGGAGGTCAAGCTTACTAGAACCACTTAAATGGCACTGTAGCTGTACTTTGCCTAGAGATAAAGCCTTCTGGATGTGAAGGGGAGAACTGGATATCATAATGTAGTGGTTACCATGAAAACAACAGTTTAGGCCTCCTCCTTCTACCACCACTCCTCAGTTTCCCCTGACAACACTGCTTTAACCATAATTTCCTCTATCACCTTTGAATGGAACTCTTGCTAGGTATTTTAGCATTGTTTGTCCAGTTACCAGTGTTGGAACCACCATCTATATATAGCATGACCACTTGGGGTTCTTAGGAAATGTAGAAAAAATTTTAAAAATTTGGCTGGAGCAGCAAGGTAATTTTCCTCTGTGAACCCAGTGTGCCACAAATGTAGCAATTCCTCAAAGCTACTGTAAAGGGGTATGTTTTTTTCTACCTAAATGAACATCTTAGTTTTGTATGCACTGGGGGGAGTACCTACTCCTCCCTCCACACACACACATACACACATGCGTGAACTGAATAACTAATACGTACTTGATGTTACACAGTACCTCCTAACCTTTTTAATCAGTGCATTGGTTGTGATTCCCACTACCACCACCCCCAAAACAACCCAAAAACCATCATAGAGGTTAGTCATAAAGCATTAACTTTTTACTTGGTTTACATAGTAGTCATAGCATTAACTTAATATTTACTCTGTTAAGTTTTCAAGAAGCTTAACTTTTATTTCTATAGCTTGACAGGAATATTTAGTGGTGTATATAAAAAACGAGGGAGAAAAGCTGCATAAATACTTTATTAATCCTGAAATATGTTAATTAATTTTGTTTGTTTCCCAAAGGGATGTCCGTCGCTTAGTGGTGGCCATGTCTAGAGCCAGACTTGGACTTTATATCTTTGCCAGAGTATCCCTCTTCCAAAACTGTTTTGAACTAACTCCCGCCTTCAGTCAGCTCACGGCCCGCCCACTTCATTTGCATATAATTCCAACGGAACCTTTCCCGACCAATAGGAAGGTAGGTCTTTCTTAATGCACAGCGCTGCAGTCTCGTAGCTGACCGCGGTTGCTAGGATCATCATCACAGTTCATCTGATTACTGATTTAGAGTGTTCCTTATCCCATGGAACTGAATTTGATTTTCTATATAAAAATAATGTATGCTAACATTTATTGAGTATACTTACCATTTATCCGACTATTCACTCTGTATATACATTATCTTATTTCATCTCAGTAACAGTCCTTGTTAAGTAGGTTTTTTAATTAACCTTACTTTACAAATGAATGAACTGAGGATTGGAGAGTTAACTAGTGGCCATGCCTCTGGTAGATGGAGAACCTGAGACTTGAAAACCCAAGCAGTCTGACTCCAGAGTGCCTGCTAATAATCACTGTAGTATACTGCCTGTCTTCAGCCTTGTAAGGAGAACATGGCTCATCGTTTGACAACATAGAAATGAATAAACAAGCAGGCAGATTCCTGACAAGATCTGGGGCAGAACTTTGTGTCTTTCTAACCAAGGACTGCAGGGATAAACCTGGAAAAACCTAGAGTACAGATCAGATAATATCAGTGAATACAAGGCTTAGAAACCAGTGCTTTACATAATACCATGAATTCAAGCCCTGCTCAAAAGAGCATCTCAGAAGAGGCAGCACCTATCAAAGCCACCAGAAAATAAGCAAACAAAAATTTAAAAGCCTTCCATATTTTTGAAGGCAGTATTTCATAATTGTAATAGCATGGCAGTCTTTGCGCAAAGAAATTGTGACCATTGCAGAAAGTGACCATTATAAAAAGAACACTGCTTACATATAAAACTACATCCCAGTTAATTCTGAGAAATGCACCAAACTTTTATGTACTTTAAATAAGTTGTTACTTCAAGGTAAAATTCTTTTTCTTGATACATGTTTTTTACTTTTATGGTTTTCTGAATTGTTCCTACAGTAAGAAAGGGTGAGATTTTATAAACATTTTATTATTGACTCTTAGTAGGAAAGTTGTTCATCCTTTAATTCTAGGATGGTTTAGGAAGAAGTACACATTTTTTTCTTTTTTTCCTTTACCACTTAACCTACACTGCTGGAGCAGTGTTTCTCAGATTACTGTCAGAAATTACTCAGTCAGAGTCACAGCATTCTGTCTCCGACCTACCCAATCTGAATCTGTGGGAACTAGAGCCCAGGCCTCTGGTTTAGCCCTCTCCTCGGATGGTTCTGATAGATACCATGAAGATGCACTTTAGGCTACTATGTGCCAACATTTCTTACTCCACGCCTTATTAATCACAAAACTTCTGAATATTCACCCTCATGACTAATAGTCTATATACTATACAATAGTAAATGTTAGCTTCTTATTTTTTAATAAAACAAATAGGAAGAATAACTTTAAATTTTTCTTTCAGGATAATCTTAAGAATTGCCTTTGGAGCTTACACAGTAGAAGAGACCAATACTTTAGACCATGTTGGTATTTCTATTCAAATGATTTCTTAACTTATATTCTTCTACATTAGAGACCAAACTCATTTTATTTACCAGACTGAAATTGTATTAAAAGCTAGTGACTCTAAGTTTTCTCCTAGTCTCTGCCTTTTCTAAATTTAAATTGAATCACTTCTCTTCATGAAGTCCCACTGTACTCTCACACTTACACGTTAATGTCCTCTTATTACCCTTCCATCCTCCAAACCCTAAAAGTGCTTCTACATAAGATGAAGACACAGGCTTCTACTGGAGTATTAGCTTTAGCATTTTTTCACTCTAAACTTAACTTTCTTTTTGCCTTCTAGAATGGAGAGAGACCATCTCATGAAGTACAGATAATAAAGAATATGCCCCAGATGGCCAACTATGTATACAACATGTACATGCATTTGATACAGACCACACATCATTATCATCAGGTGAGTTTTCTCAAAATGGATGCCTGCTTTTCTTGCTGTAGAAAAAATCTTGTATGTTACAGACTAGACCAGTAAAGTACGTGATTCCTTGTGGGAAACCATTAAACCAAAGTAGGTTGTTATTCACATTAATGTGTATACTTTTAAAACATTTTTATGCAGATATAATTTGATGTACAATAAATTCCACGTATGTAAAATACAGTATTTGATATGTCTGACACATACAACTGTGTATACATATAGATACAGATATATAGATATATGATACTGAACATATCCATTATCTCCAAGTTTTCACCTGGCCCTTGGTAACTTCTCGTCCTTCACTAGTCCCTTCCCCACCTTCTCCAGGTAACCAAGGATTTGCTTTCTGTCACTATAGCTTAGTCTCCATTTTCTACATATTTATGTAAATAGACTCATACAACATGTACTTTTTTTCCTAGCTATCATTAGCATAATTATTTCAAGAATCACGTTTTTTTGTGTATCAGTCCTTTCCTTTTTATTGCTGGACAGTATTCCATTGTGTGGATGTTCCGAGTTTACCCATTTGCCTGCTGATGGACATTTGGATTGTTTCCAACTTTGGTTATTACAAATAAATAACCATTGAACATGAACATTCTTGT